TTTTTTTTTTCACGTGTTCCACCTTGGTGTTGGTTTTTCTCTCGATGAGAACCCCACCTGGCTCTTCTGTGCTGAGCAAATCCTCAGCAGCCTGGCAGGAAAAGGCTGCAGGGAAATGGGGCTGGATTTTCCAGCTTTTTCCTGAGCTCCTGGTGAGCTGTAGGTGAACTGCAGCATTGGAAAGTTCTGCAGATATTCAGATTTTATAGACTGGGAAAGATCACTGGGATCAATCTGAGCAAGTCTGGGAGCTCCTCAAATTAATTCTCCTTCGAACATGTCTGTCAGCAAAGCAACTGCGCTGGAAAATCCAATCAATTACAACCTGGGGGTTGTTATTGCAGGTTAATTCCATGTCAAAAATTAGGCCTTTTGTCTTCTTTTTTTAATTTTTCCAGGCTCAGTTTTATTATAACTTTGGGTGCAAAATTAAAGCATCCATTGGTGCTTTTAATTTCTGTGTTCCACCAAGGTCTAGGCTTACGTTCACATCGTCCTATGTATTTTTTTTATTCTTGAGATGTTCTGCTCTGGGCTGTTTTAATTCTTCTAACCACCTATACTTTTCTCTGAACTCACTCGTTTTCCAGCATAATTTTTCTGAACTAGGTATATAAAAAAATGAATATTTTATATAAATTTTTTATATTAAATACTTTTAATAGCAATAGCAACTTTCAGAGGGGTAGCAATAGAGCCTCCTTCCTTCTCCTGGCATTTGTTTTTAGGTGTCCCCATGGTCATTCAGTCTTTTCAGGTCTCAATGATGCTCTGGGTGTTTGTGGTCACTTGTCCACAAACAAGAATGGAATGGTTATTCCAAGAATGGAGTCATTGTGATGTTTTCCCAGTTTTATTCAAGATTCTGACACCCTTTTCCTCCTCCCTTTGAAAAACTCTCAGTAAATTCACTACTATCAGGATATGTAAATCAGCTGTTATCTAAGCAGGGAGGCAGTTGGCTCTTTGAATTCCAGGAAAAATAAACTTTTCCTTTTGCAGACTCTCTTCATGGTCAGAAAAAAATGTCCCTCTTCCTTTTGGTGCCCTTTGGAAATACTGGAATGTCTTCTCAAGGATGTTCAGATGTCCAGTGAAGTACCCAGGGCAGAATAGAGTTAAGACGGCTTAAAAATCAGAGTTTCTAACAGAAAGGGTAGGGGGATTCATCTGAGAAACAGCTTCATTAAAATGCCCCCTGTGCCTGCACACTCAGATTTTTAGGGGTTTTTTTTCTTCTCTTCAAAAGCTTTTAAATATTTAAATCATCAAAATCCCAGGGAATGCTTCCCTGGCTTTAGGGTAGAGGTGAGTGACTGTCACTGGAGTAAGGAGACAGTTTTGCAGTTGGATTTCCCAAGTTTTCACTGGAAAGTGGGAGACCCTCAGAAGATTTGTGCCAGGGATGTACCCAAAGCTAAGATTTTGACCTAAAAAGATAAAGGTCCCTTCTGGGAGCTGGATTTCAGAGGGGATGGCTCAGGGTTCCTCCTGCCACGGTCAGAGGACACTTTAGCAGTGGTTGTCCCCTCACTGGGAAGCCGTGAGTCCCAGCCACCCTTCTGCCAGCCAAGAGTCTGCTCTGAATCTGACAGAAAAGGGATCAGTGGGAGAAGGGATCATTTCATAAACTGCATATAATGGGAGAAAAGTGAATAAGTCTGAAAGAAACAGAACATCCAGTTTTAAACATTTAATTACTAATAAGGAAGATAAATTCACACAGGTGATTTTCCAAGTGTTCAACAATTCCATGATGTATCCAGGACCAACAGCACAGAATTAGTGACTTCTGCCCGGCTGGGGTTTTTACACAGCTCACCAAATGATTGTGTATTGGAAGATACCTGTGGCTTTTCCAGAACGGGTTTTCTGGGAACACCTGCTGTGTTCCTGCTTCTAAAGCAGAGTGGAAGCTCTGATTTAATGGAATTTCTTGTGAACCTGTCACTGTTTAAAAATAATTGTGAAGGTCAAATGTGAGGGGAATTGAGGATGAGGTGGAATAGCAGATGGAGAGCTACAGGGATACAGGCAGGAGTCAGGGATCCAAACCCAAAGCAGCTAGAGTTAGGAGAAGAGGGTGCACACAGCAGGTCACCAAGCTGAACAGAGTCACAGTTGTCATCATGAACCAAAGCATGAGGCTCTCGTAATCCATAATATTAATCCCACAATAAATCCAGGAAAATGTTTTGCTGGAAAACAAAGGCATTATTTAGAAGTTGTGGATGCAGCAGCCAGTGCCAGGGGGTAAAACATGTGTCTGTCAAGTCATGCAGAATTTTCCCTGTCCTGTACTTTGTAAAACTGATACATAACTAGGGTATTATTAAAGGACATGGAATGATTCACACATACATGTCTTACTGGGTGACAGAAAAAAGAGAGTTTTATTCTCTTGACTCCGGTATTTATAGATTCTTGACAATAACCAGGGATTGGATAATTAAGTTACCACCTTCCCAATCACACTGGTCATGCAAAACGTCCATCGAAAGAATTTTCTTAGAAGGAATGTATACACATCTATGTTTATAGTTACTTTTCTGGGAAAGTGTCTAAAACTATGAAAAACAAAATCAGAAGGCTTATTTTTCAGGGTGACACTAGAGATCCGTATTCTTCCTTCAGACTGTTATGATTGATTACCTGAAGTTTTTATTAATCAGGGATCTCATAAAACAGAGTAATTTAGGTTGGAAAGAACCTCTGACCTCATCAGGTCCAACCCTTAATGCAGCACTTCCAAGCCCACCAATAAACCATGTCTTCACATCTACACAGTTTATCAACACCTCCAGGCATGGGGACTCCAAACCTCCCTGAGCAGCCCCTGCCAAGGCCTGAGCTCCCTTGCCATGGAGAAATTCCTCCTGGTGTCCAACCTGAGCCTCCCCTGGCACAGCTTGAGGCCGTTTCCCCTTGTCCTGTCCCTGTTCCCTGGCAGCAGAGCCCGACCCGCCCTGGCTGTCCCCTCCTGTCAGGGAGTTGTGCAGAGCCAGAAGGTTCCCCTGAGCCTCCTTTGCTCCAGGCTGAGCCCCTTTCCCAGCTCCCTCAGACACTCCTCATCTGATTTTTGCTCCAAATCTGTTTGATTACACCCCAAAAATGGGCCTGAATAGTACCTGTACTTCACTATGCCCTGCCTTTCCACAAACCCCTAAAAGACTCTGAGGGCACTCAGATAATTTCCCAGACTGAAACGTTCAGCCTCCTTTCCTATCTTTTAAAGGGAAGAGGCTTTGATTTATTGGAGCATAAAAACCAGTTGAATCCAACAAATTCCTCCTGCATAAATTAAGTAGAAAATGTCCCCTGTTAAAAAGAAACTGTGTGAAGCTCCTGCACAACGTGTCAGGTTCCATCACGGAGTAAACGCTCACGGCTGAGTTACGAACATGTTAAAAAGGCTCTGTCGGGAAAATGCCAGAGGAATTTCAACCAGGAGAGATGGTTAAAATCATCCAGGGATTTAATGCCGTCCTGCTGAGAAGGCTTTTGCCAGCTCAAAGGATGAGGGACATGCACCAGTGACATCTAGTGAGCAGCAAGAGAATGTTTATATCCACTTTAAGCTATCATTTAGCTTGGAAAAGGGATTTTTTCTCAAGTACCAAGGAAATGGCTTATGAAAGGCATCAGGAATGGGAATTATTCTTCCAGACACCTTTGTGAGGGTGGGGGTGAGCAGCCTCTTTGCCCTCAGTATTGTGAAACCAGCCCAAATTCATGATTCAGGACGAGCTGTTCTGCTTGTGCTGAGATACAGTTCATCCGTTACACACCCAGAGCAGAATGGATTCTCCCCAGAATTCCAAAATGAATAACAGGGACAAGAAATGCTACGAAGATTTATCAGGAAATTAATCTGAGGGGAAGTCAATTGGAAGAAATTACTGCCCTTGCAGAAATGGTCTTTGAGGAGTGGAATTTCTGTCTCATGATCAGAGTAAGGAAATCAAAGCTATATTCAGAGTTTATACACAAAAATACTTACAGAAGTTTTTTGTTGTTCTTTATTTGAAGTTTTCTGGGGGATTTTTTCCCCTTGTCTTTCTCCAGGAGAACCAGTGTACATGTAAAGATGTGGAATTTTGCTATGGCTCCCACCTTTTAGGACCCTCCATCCAAACACATTTCTTACTTTGGTCTTTGGAGCTGGGCAGCTTGTGAGACACTCAGTCCTCACGTCTGGAGTGATCCAAGGATTTTTATTTTACTTCAGAAGTTAGAGCCTTGGACAATGTATTTTTTGTCCAGCCAGCCAAAGAATTTCCCTAAGGAGCTGAGCAAATCCTCTGAAAATTGCCTGATTTTAGGGTAACAGCAACCATAGAATCATTAAGGGTGGAAAAGACATCTGAGGTCATTAAATTCAACATTCCCCAGCACTGCCAAGGCTACCACGTCCTCATGTCCCCAAGTGCCACATCCATGGGTTTTTTAACACTTCCAGGGATGGTGATGCCACCTCTGCCTTGGGCAAGACCAAGGTGATCTTTTGGGCAGAGTGGCCCTCAGGAATATGTCTAGGAAGGGTTGGTTGATTCTTGGGATCAAAGCAGAGAAGGAAAAGCACAAAGCAAGGCCTTTGTGATGCCAGTGAGAACTCTGAGCCCCTGAAAATCAGGATAAGCTCAGCTCAGCCCTTCATTTCAGTGTTTAAACTGTGTCCTGGTGTTAAGTACATTGGAATTGCCCCTGGCACCGGGATTACGGGGAATTGCCACCATTCCAAGGCCCACAAAGACAATATAGGTGCTTCATTGGGCTATTAACCCACCGTAATTAAAACTCTCTTCGTGAACTTGGCCCTAATAGTGGGATGTTTCTGTCCCATTGAAGGTTCCTGGATGGCAAACTGCTGGATATCAACAAGGAGTTCCAGCCCTACCTGGGCCAGGGTGGGCGAATCCTGGAGATCCGCACACCAGACGTGGTGGCCAACGTGAAGAAGCAGGCGCAGGCCGTGGGCTACACGGAGGGAGCACTGCTAGCCCTGGCTGTCATCATCATCCTGTGCTGCATGCCAGCCATCCTCATCGTCATGGTCAGCTACCGGCAGTGAGTACCCTTTTTCTCCTCCCCTCCCAGGGCTTGTCATGTCGTAGTAGAGCTGCTGCATTTCATAGCAGAGCTGCTTCGATGATTATTCGTCATCGTGATATTAATTTCTATTTATTATTTCCTATTTCTATAATATTTTGTATCTATTATCTATATTATGTCAATTAATTTCTGGGTTTATTCCCCTACTCACCACAAGGGTTGCCCAGTGTTTGGTGTGATGAACACGGGGGCTTCCTAACATGGTGCAGGATTTTTGTGCCAAAACACCGGCTCAAAACGCAGGTGTCGGACACAGAAGTGACAATTCAGAGGTGAATTCCATACATAAAAAAAAACCAAAAAAATGATTGAGGAAAAAGTGCTTTTTTTCAAGCAATGAATCAAAAATCAAATTAGAGGATGTTTTTTCTTAAATCCTAAACTATTTTTTCCTGAGCTTCTTAATTGCAAATATTTCCTGGAGAGATGGTTTTCTGCCATTTTAGGGCAACATCTGAAATATTTTTTGATATTTCCTCTTGCCTCTTATACACTGAAAAGATTCCAGTAATTGGCTGATAAATTAATTCAAATCTATATCTGCAACAAGTTCCTCTCAACTAAAATTTTCAGGTCTACTCATATATAAAATCAGTGCATTTGGACTTAAAGGCTCCATACCTATTCATTTATTTAGATTTAGATATATATATATATATATATATATATATATTCATAGATTTATTCTTTAACTAAATGTTATATTCATAGATTTACCTATACATTATAGTCCAGTTCATAGATTTATAAATCCAATTATTCACTCATTTATTCTTTAACTAATGATTATATTCACATCCCCTTTTCTCTATTTTGGGTGAAGAGAAAAAACCTTTTAAATAACTTCTTTTAAAGAAGTTTGGAAGAGCTAGACCAACTTCTGCAGCATTAATATGGCAGGTCATTCCCAAACTGCTCTTCCTCTCTCAGAATTCTATGGAAAATTTGCTTCCATGAGCCAGTTCATCTTGCAATTGGTTGGTGGCTGTTATCTGAATTACAGATTCCTGAAAGAAATGAAACAGCCTCATTTTTCCTTGGCATCTGTTAGATTATCTGAACATCATCAATCTCTTTTAGGAGCTCTCAGGAATCTGTTTAAATTCATTTCATCCAAAAATCCCATTTTTCCCATCTAGAAATCTGACTTGGAGTGGGATTTATAGCAGCCCATTGTGAATAAATTGTGTTTTTATGGAGAGTGCCAAAGAAAATGAAAGGAATTTTAGAGTTAATTTAAAATCCTGAGCCTTATGGTTTGTTTTTGCATTCCAGCCTTTTTCACTCCTTTTCCAAAGGAATCTCAGTATTTTTCCTGAAATATTTCTTTAGTAATAAATCTAAAAATGACTCCTTTGAAATCTAGTATCCAGCACAAACCTGTAAGGTACTTATAAATTATTTATTGTTTACTAATCACAAAAGAATGGCATCTTCTAAATAATAACAAAAAATAATGCTTCTTCATTACGAAAAGTATTTTATATACATTTTTGAAATATGGTAAAATGGGGAGTTATAAATAAAATAACAATTATATTATTTATATTGTTATATAAAAATAATTCATTATAAAGAAACACATCTAAAAATGTGCCTGCTTAAAAAAAAAACAGGAGAAATATTCATGTTTTCATGTCTTGCTTTTATTCCCTGCTGTAATTCGTATTTCTGCTGACTACAGAATTGTTTCCAGGGGATCAAAAATAGCGGCCAAATGCTGTTCAGCTCTGGAAGTTCTGATCCTTTAAACAAGTCATTAATTCTGGAATTTGATGTGTGGAATAATTAAGTAGCCTGTAGTTTATTACTGCTGTTAGAGTCGCTGTTATGGGCAGTTGTTGGAAGTAGAATTTATTTAACCTTCCTTTTTATCTCTTTTTTTGCAACCAAACAGATTCAAAGAGTAAGTATTTATTTCCAGCTTTGTTTCTTCCAGCTTCCACAGGAATACTGACAAATTTTGTTAACAAAACTTATTAAATAAGGGGTTGGTTGTTTTTTAATTTCTGTACTCAACTTGCTCCTGAACTCCTGGTGTGAGGAGTTTAAAAGTGATTTATTTATATGGCTACTCGGTGTCAGTGGGGTTTATCAGCCACATCACCCTGGTGGTGCTCCCCACACGAGTAGCTTTGTTTTCTAGACAGAGAACAGAAATTTATTCTGCAGTGATTTTACTCCATATTAAGAAAAAAAGAAAAAAGAATATTTTTCAGGAAAAACTATTAATTGAACAGGAATTTCCCAGCGCTTTTCCACTAAGAAAAATGAGTTGTGAGTCGTTAAGGGGGAGTGGCGTCAAACTGAAAGAAGTAGGTTTAGATGGGATATTGAGAAGAAATCCTTCCCTGGGAGGGTGGGCAGGCCCTGGCACAGGGTGCCCAGAGCAGCTGGGGCTGCCCCTGGATCCCTGGAATTGTCCAAGGCCAGGACTTTGGGGCTTGGAGCAGCCTGGGATAGTGGAAGGTGTCCCTGCCCATGGAAGGACGTGGCACTGGATGGGCTTTTTAAGGTCCTTTCCAACACAAACCATTCTGGAATCTGAGAAGCTATGTGATTCCACCAAATCAGAACAACCAGGATCTGGAAAATCCAGGAAAAAATTATCATATTACTACTTTGATGAAGACAAAATCTAGGGGTGTTTGTTAACCACAGGGCAAGAACATAGAAAACCTCACATTTTGGCCGTGTTTTGGGGTGTTCCTGATGAGTGTATCTCCTTCTTCCCATGGCGTTCCAAAGGCGACAGGCTGAGTGTGCCAAGACTGCGAGGATCCAGATGGCTCTTCCAGCAGGAAAACCAACAGGAGCCGTGGCAAACAACCTCTATGAGGAGCTTGGAGACAGCACCATGTGAGTATTCCTTGAGATCCATCCTGAAAATCACTGCCCTGGGCAACCTGGGTTAGTGGGAGGAGTCCCTGCTCATGACAGAGTGTGGAATGAGATGGGTTTTAAGGTCCCTCCCAGTCCAAACTATTCTAGGATTCCAGGATCCTATGAAATAGTTTCATGCAGTCTCTGTGCACAAGGTTTTCCTCATTCCTCAGCTGCTTGGGGTTCTCCAACATCCAGAAAAGAAACAGGCTGGGTCTGGAAGGTGGGAAAAAAACAATTTAATCTTCTTGTAATGCATGGGGGAACCTATAAGAGACTTTAAGTGGGCAAAAAGGTCTCACTAGATGGTTTTCCTAAGAACAAGGTCCTACAGCAGGTCACTGCTGCCAGGATTGGATTCCTTGACACATCCAGGCCATCATTCCACATTTTCCAAAGTTGTTGACTAAACACATCCAATAAAATCCATTCTTATCCATTGCACACATCTGAAATGATAATTCCCTGAAAATTGCTGCCCTAAAGTCCCCATTTCCTATAGTAAGAAGTGCTCAGTTTGTTGGGGCTTTTTCTTTGTTCTAAGTTTAAACCTGTTTAAATATTGAAATTAAAGGAACTGTCAAAGCACAGAAACCACTGGTAGCTCAATAAACGCATCTTTTACCTCTTACATGCTCATAAAATAATAATCTTGCAAGGCTGCCTTTCTTTTCATGCCTCTGTAAACCTGAAGTTGATGGACTCCAATAGCAATTTAACCCTCAGTAGGAAAATACTCCAGACAGTTATTATTTGTCTGATACTGGCGAGGTTGTTGATAAGCTTTGCCACACTTCCTCATCTCTATTTATATTTGAAAACCAAGGAGTGCTGAAGAGCCCAGCTTGAATAATATTTGGAGTAGGTAGGGAGTGAGTGGATGGTGGAAACGAGGATTGCTCGGTTTTCAGTTGTGATTTGTTTTGCCCGGAAAGCTGAAATTTTCCAGCCGCTGTGATGGAGTTTATAAAATGTTACAGGGCCATGACAGAGCTTTAACTCTTGGACAACTGGCTGCAGTCTCTGCATGTGGAATAATTCTAGGGCTTGAGCTTTTATGGGTAAATAGGGGGCTAAAAAATGCTGGGAGCGGGAATAGTTTCTCCTCAGAGCTGAATTTCTGCCTTTTACCTTTGTCAAGTTATGGTTGGGCAGAAAGGGAAGTAAAACATGTGAAATAAAGTTTTTTTGAATAGGAGCACTTCTCTTTGTGAGTCACATCTGCACCCTTATGCAGGGAGGTGCCAGCTGGATAAAATTCACTTTTTTTGCACTAAACCAAATTTCTGCTGAAATTAATTATGTGATGCTAAACCCAGAAAAAGCCTTGTTGTGCTGTGTTTTATCTGCAAAGGTTTTTTGGGGTTTAGTACTGCCCCAAAGAGGTGCCAGTTCCCAGATCTGCAGTATTGACTTTGAGGCTTAGGTTTATGTTAATTTGGACAAAAAATAGTCTTCATTGCACCAAAAAAGGTGCTGTAGTTGGAATATTTTCTCTGAGATGTCTTTGCATACAACCAAGGCTTATCCATCATGCCGAGGAACTGATTAAGCACAGAAATCCTTCAAAGATAAATCAAAATCCATAGGATTTGCAAGGAAATAACAGGCTTCAGTAAATAAAATTACAAATTAACTTTTTCTTCCCCATTAAATATTTGACTGCAGGTATACCTTAGGAAATTCTTATTTGGGAAAAATCTTTTATTGCCATTTTTCATGAGTTTTAGTTGTCCTAAGTCTGTCACCTTTCATTTGCAGTGTCTTGTTTGCTTTCTTTGGTGTTTGTAGCAAATGAAATGGAACAAAGCTCTTTAGTTTTAAATCTGCCTTGTCTCACCATTTTCATCTTTCCCTGTCTTTGGATCCTTAGGCATCAGTAAGTAAGCTTATTTCATTGTCGTAGTATTTGTAGCTGGTAGAAATTAGTTAATTTTCCTTCCAGAAATTCCCATCCAGCCTTGCAAGGTGAAGTTCATATTTTATTTGTCCATTGAGCAGGAAAGACATTTACTGGGAAGTTCCAATACTTCTGTGCTTCTTTATCCCTCTTCTTGGAAGTAGAGAGGGGAAGGGTGATTGCTGAACTTGAAAAGCATTATTTCTAAATCCAAAGGGTCAAAAAAATCCAAACCAACACTGAACATGAACAGAGGATTGCTGGGAGTTCATGGATTTATGACTGGGTTGAAACCTTCCTTGGCTGTCAATTACAATCCCATGCAAGGCCTGTAGAGTCCTTGAGTTCACAGAAACTGAACTCTCTGGCCCTCAGTGATCGAAGCAGCTCCACACAAACAGAAAAACATGGTGGGGTCACCTCAGCTCTCAGAGGCCTCATGTAGAGCGAGGAAGAGGCTGAGGAACTTTTGAAATAATCTGCTCCAGTGGCAGAAATGTGGTGGCACCTTCTGCTGGAGGGGCTCCTTCAAGTTCAGTCACTGCTTCTCTCACCCCTCAGTAGATTAAGTGCTTGGCTGACCTCAAATTTGGCTTGTTCAGAAATCAGAGTTCCTTTATAGCTCAGGGGCTCAGCACAGGAGGGACCTGGAGCTGCAGGAGTCCAGGGGAGGCACCAGGATGATCAGAGGGATGGAGCAGCTCTGCTGGGAGGAAAGGCTGGGACAGCTGGCATTGTTCAGCCAGGAGAGGAGAAGCTTTGGGGTGACCTCACTCTGGCCTTCCAGGGCCTGAAGGAGCTGACAATAAATAGAGAAACAGTTCCAAGGGATGGAGGGCCAGGACACAGGGAATGGCTTCCCAGTGCCAGAGGGCAGGGATAGATGGGATATTGGGAAGGAATTGTTCCCTGGGAGGGTGGGCAGGCCCTGGCACAGGGTGCCCAGAGCAGCTGGGGCTGTCCCTGGATCCCTGGAAGTGTCCAAGGCCAGGTTGGGGTTTGGGGCTTGGAGCAGCCTGGGATAGTGGAAGGTGTCCCTGCCCATGGCAGGGGGTTGGATCTAGGTCACCTTTAAGGTCCTTTCCAATCCAAACTGTTCTGGGATTCTCTAATTAGTGTGAAATTAATTATTTTTATTCATTCTTCCCAGAGGAAGCCTAAGGCACACCCAGCTCTGGCAAACTGCAGTGCTTGGGGAGAGTATATTCAATTTGTGGAATTTGCTGGGTTTTTTTTTTTTGCAAATGGGAGAATGATCCCTGGGTTCTGTGTGGGAATTCCAGTCCTCCTGGCTCCCTGGAATATTGGGAAGCTGGGGTTTCCCTGCCTGGGTGATCCCCTGATCAAAAGAGAAAACACAAGAAACAAAAGTGTTTTGTAGTTAAATACAACCCTCAGGGGATTTTTACATTGTAAATAACTTGGAGGAAGACAAAGATTTCTTAATTAACTCCTTCTAGGTATTTAAATTTCCCTTCCAATTTACTAGGGAATATATAACCACTAGGGATTAATTTCTCATTAATTTGGATTTAGTTGTGTTTTCTGAGATGTGAAACAATACCACCAAAACCCATATAATGATGTGACCAAGATGTCTAAAATTTCATTTTCCAGCATTCACAGAATCATGGAAAACTCCTTTTTTTTATCTCCCATTCTGTTACCAAAATTCAAATTTTGGTAGAGACAAGGCTTAGAATTTTTAACTCAAAACTTGTGTGAAAATACTGGACATCTCTAAGTCACTAAAACCAGTCTTAAATGGTATTTTCATTTGTGCAGGTAGATAAGATTGCTACTCATGCTGTGCTTTATCTCTGCCTGAAACAGAATTAAATTTCTCTTTATTTGAGAAACAATAAATCTCATAAAATTTTGAGAAAAAATAAATCCCACTTCAGCCTGCAGTGAGCATTATTTAAAATAGGCCTCTAAAGGCACTTTTCTAGCATGCAGTTTGGGGGTGTTCATTTTTAAATTCTGTTTCTTTTCAAATCTGCTCAGAAGGTTGTGGTATGAAAAATATTTGAGGGAGGAAGTTAATGAAGCGCTGGGAGGTGACAGATGCAGTTCAGAAAGTGGCGAGACCTCCCACTTTTGGTGTAGAAATTGGATGTTACCCAACCACAGGGGCTTTTCATTGGGTTCAACATGATGAACATGAAATTCATATGCACAAGAGATTAAATTCATTCACATATTGATACTTCTGTGATGTTTCATGTTTCTAGGTGGATAGGCCACAATATTAACTGATAATTTTGAAATCTAAGAGGTTTTTTTAATGAGAAGTGAATTAATTTTGGAACTCACCAAGTAGCTACGCAGCTTCAAATTAAAACAAGCAGCAACTTGTTTTAATTTTTTTTCCTTCCCCCTTAAAGAAGATGCAAAAGTAAATGTCTTGCCAGTAGTAGATGTGCTCTTGCTGTTGGGTTGTAGTTTGCTAAAAGTGATTTAATGGCTCTGATTCATGTCATAAGTTCTTTTTTTCTCTCTCTCATAAGTACCTATGTCCATGCATGTTTCCTCACATGTGATTATCTTCTTTTCTTTCAAGTCTTTTTCTTCTCTACCATTTCCAACAAAGCAGGGGAAAAAAGTCAGTCTTAGAAGAAGGAGACCGACAGAGAGTTATAAGCAGCTTTGCTTCCCGTGCTATAGAGGCTCACAAGCAATCCAATATCAATGGATCCCTGAACAATAACCTCCCCAAATCCTCGAGTAACATCACTTTTTTGTCCGATGAGAACCCGCTAACAACCCGAAACCCGTTGTACGTGGAAGGTCTCCCTCAAAGCCCCGCTGCCACTGGGTTCCTACGGAAAAGGAATGATACTTTAGATACTCTTTCTCCTTCAAGACTGGCCTGGAGAGAGGCCACTTTTGGGGGCAGCCATCGGGCATGGACAGTGCCCACTCACCTGACCAGGAGGCACATGTCAGGGTCCCTGGGTAGGCCGGTTATCATGGACCCCATCCAGTGGCAGCAGCAGAGACTCACAGCCAAGGAGGAAGGAGCTGAAAACCCTGATAGCAGTGACGATGTCAGCAGTCCACTCTTCCAAAAGAT